TCAAAAGAGACCAACTCAATATTCTATTATTTTCTTTGACCCGTCGATTTCTTAAAATATTGATAGCCATACATAGACAATTTTCGATACAATTAATAAACGCTAACAAATGTCTATACTATCGCCAACAAAACGTGACCTTTGATGCCTAAGCTTATTGATAGACCCTATCAAGTAGTTTCGAAGAAAAATAAATACAAATATCAGATTGGCTGTAGTCCAATCAAATATTAAATAATAACTTCTTGTATTCCTCGTTTATTGAAGAGTATTACGAACAAACAAAAGAACAATACATTTTGTTGTGTATTCAATAAATAGTGTTTATTGGCTCAATTAGTCAGAGTAATTGTAAAGGTGAAGCTGACTAAAGGAGTATATTAAAAAGATACAGTCAAAGGTCAAAAGTCCACTGCCACTGTGAGTGATATTCACAAGGCAATGCGTAAGTAATTTCATATTAATGTGCATAAAAACACACACACGCACGCGTACGCACACGGATAAAAATATGCGTGTGCATGTGTATATAAACGCTGCAACGCAACCGATAGTTGTCTTACGGTGGCCGTGGACTTTTGACCTTTGACCGTACATTTAAAGACCGACTTCAACCGTTATTTTGAAGTAGTTGTATTATATAAAACCTGCTCTTAAGTTTAACAAAGTCTTTTCTAGAAAGTGCATCAAAATTGCGAGATGATCACGAACCAACATAATCATTATTATATGCATTTAGAAACAAAGATCGTCTTTCTTCCTTAAAGTCGGTTAAAAAGTGACATATACTTGGCAACGGCACTCTGTACTTTATAATATTTCAAACTGTAACCTCCAACCTGCATGTTTATTTTTATGGCATGCCGGTAATCGAGCAGACGGATCACCTGATGGTAAGCAATCGGCGTCGCCCATGGACACCTGGAACATCAGAGGCGTTACAAGTGCGTTACCGGCCTTTTGGAGATAAGGAGTTTGAAGATCGTTGGGGATTCAGGAATTGGGGAGATTGGAAAAGGGGAGGGTAATTGGGCCTCCGGTAACCTCACTCACACAACGCAAGCGTTGCTTCACGTCAGTTTTCTGTGAGGCCGTGGTATCATTCCGGTCAAGCCGGCTCATTCGTGCCGAAGCATGGCTGTCCCACACTTAAAAAAATGATTAAAGCATCAAAATATCAGTGATTTTATTAAATAGCCTGCAATGGGTTACTACCTAACCAGACTTAAGAAAATGAGAGATGAAGGACAACTGTGTCAATGCATTTGTCTTCTGCGTGTAAGACTATAGTAGCTAGGTGCCACAGTCGTTGTGTCAAGAGACTGTGTCAGTATTTGTGTCGTTGTTCCAAGAAACTAAACAACTTTTTTTCAAGTCTTTATACTAAACATGGTAATGCAAAAACTCCTTTATATAGAAGACCCATACAGGCCGGTCGTAGTACGTCACGTGCGGTTAATGATGAACAATATTACTGATTACTTATAATGGACACTTGTGTAGGATCTTTATTGAGATCGCGTGGTGTTTCCGAGATAAAAATAACTATAGAGTTAATTGTGTAGTGTCTTGACATTTACATGATTTAACTCGTTGAGTACCGTCATTATAGACACAATCAAAGAACAATAGGTTGCGGTTACCGGTGTCCTCGCGGTGTTTGACAGTTTAACTTGTAATAGAGACTACAAAATTAGACCAAATGGGGGCTACCGTATTTTATGGTTGCTAGGGGGCGCAAACGTTGTAAGAGTTAAGTGTACGCGGAGAGCTCTGAGGAATTATTTGACCTGATACCAGCCGCATTTTTTCGCCATCGATCCTCACGACAGCATATGCATCCCCATCATATAGATGGTTGGCAGGCTACGACTGTGCGCTTCTCACGTAGTTTTCTGATAATAATGATCTGTCATCGGCGGTATTACCGAACCGATACGACCTTCAAGAAAAGAGCGTATTCCTTTTTAAAAGGCGGGCAACGCACGTGTGACTCTTCTGGTGTAGCGGATGTCCATGGGCGACGCTGATCGCTTACCATCAGGTGATCCATCTGCTCGTTTGCCTCCTATTCCATTAAAAAGAGCATTTCTTGTCCAATCACTGTAATGTCCAAACGTGCAATATTTGATTGTTATTGTGGTGTGATACTAACTAACGGTCTATTATACGAAGAATGAGAGGTTCACATTGGCGCCATTTTGGTGACCAAAAATATGGTACCCCCATTAGATTTTATGTTTAGTGATTCCAAAAAATGGTTAATAACATGGAAATATACAGAAATATAATGTCATTTCATCTAAGGTGTTTTTAGGAGGAGGTTTCTTTAGAGACCTTGTTTTTAAAGCACTTTTATAATTTTTAATTTATAAATATTCTAAGAAGTATCTATATAGTTTTGGTTTTTTATTGTCAATCGATCACTAAGCTAATCACATACAAAAAGAGTCTTTAGTAGGTATAAATTGGTTGTTTGACAAACTTTTATTCCTTGAAACCAAAAATGACTGTCGAACCCTAAAAATCTGTACAAACGTAAACTTCACCTACTTTTAATCGTAGACGATACACAAATTGTACACAAACAAAACTTGAGATTTAATTTTATCAGTCGAGTGTGAGTGAAGGCTGGTGTTATCAGTTTAATTACGCTGACCTTAATAAGGGTTCTTTTGTAATTCGTAAGGTATAAATTGTCAATTAGTACGAACAATTAGCAGTGAGTGTTGTAGCTGCGAAGCTTCCATCATGATTTCTTTCTTCATCTATTTGGCTTGTGTTAGTTATGCTGGTGAGTTCTGTGTTATATTTGATTTTATGTTCGGACTTTTCCTATCTATAAAATCACTATTGAGTTCGTAAAGTTCTTTATAAATGATCATTTTTATTATTTTTTCAATAATATATACATAACATATTTATGTGACGCCCTTTATCCCCGAAGGGGTAGGCAGAGGTGCACATTATACTACTCTACAATGTAAAACCCAGTTTTCACTATTGATGTTATGAGTCCCATGTTATAGAGGGTGATCCTATTGCCCTATACCGGGCACATTTCCAGACCCCGTGCTACTACTAAGGTTTTTACAAACCCAGTAATACTTTGCCTGACCCGGGAATCGAACCCGAGACCTCTTGCTCGGCTGTCGCACTTGCGACCACTCGGTCAATGAGGCAGTCAATAATCTATTCAAAACATTGTGATAATCTCATCCGCATCATCAACAGCCGATAAGTGGACACTGCTAATCAAAACCCACTTCTCGCACGGAGAAGGTTTGATCAATAAAGGCAATTTAGTCACATTTAAAATGAAAGGATTTAGTTGCAAAAGGAATAACTTCGTTTTAAATTTATAGTGGGTTAAATAAAATGAAAAAAAAAAATCAATTAACGAATTCTTAGTCAGGTCATTCAAATTTTAAAATTTTCTTTTCAGTATCAAGCCCCACGATAAAATCCTTAGACGATCTCAAAATCGTTGGAGGTGAAAGCATTGAAATAACTGATGCACCATACCAGGTGTCTCTCGTGAGGGGAGGGAGACACTCCTGTGGAGGAACCATTGTCGCTAAGGATATCATTGTCACTGCTGCTCATTGTGTTCTGGGGCAAGTTGTCAATTTTGATTTTTTTTTCTACATTTGATGGATCGACGTTGCGTGACGATCTCGTCTGGTGGTAACCGATGATGCGGCCTACGATGGCGCACGTCAACCTATTAGCAGCCTATTCACTCGGGCCTTGAAGACAGTCAGGTCATTTTGAACGTACTAGGAATAAATTTGGAATTTGTCAAAGAGAAATCTCTTTTCAGTAGTTATCGAACGACGAGACTTATAGCTGTTTACACATAATGATTTTATTTGAGTCCCTTGGTAATTTATAGTAGGTAATTTAAGTACAATTCCGATCTTTTTTGTACTACTGAATATACTTTACGTGTCCTAGGAATCAGACTTTAAATTTCATGCTCAATAAGGGCAGTTGCATTTTACGTACCAATATTTAAGAGCCTAACTGTAACATTAGGCTCAAAGCAGAATAAAGTACAATAATCATGAAGTAGGATAGAAATAATTAACTGAACTGCTTTCGTAATTATTTGACAAGGAACTCGACTAGTTTTAAGCCATGCTAGAGGCTTCAGGAGTATTCAGGCTCGAGCACTCTCGCGCTGCTACTGGCTAGTCAAGTAACTCGTCAATTTTTTTTTATTGCATAAGCCGGAAAACGAGCAGACGGATCACCTGATGGTAAGCAATCGTTGTCGCCCATGGACACCTGGAACACTAGAGGCGTTACAAGTTCGTTACCGGCATTTAGGGGATTAGGAGTTTGAGGAACGTTGGGAATCAGGGATTGGGCAGATTGGGGAAGGGGAGGGTAATTGGGCCTCCGGTAACCTCACTCACACGGCGAAACACAACGCAAGCGTTGCTTCACGTCGGTTTTCTGTGAGATCGTGATATCACTCCGGTCGAGCCGGCCCATTCGTGTCGAAGCATGGCTCACCCACACTTAACCATAAAACTTTAAATTACGCGAGTAAGCCGAAAATAATAATAATTAATTTAGCATCTCTTACGAAACTTATAACATAAATGTTAACTGTTTTCCTTTACATTTTACATCTTTTCTTCCAGAGCACTTGCAAACGAATTCCAAATCCGTGCTGGTTCATCATATAGCGAGAAAGGTGGACAACTGTACCCAGTCGGAGAAATACTTTGGCATCCAAGCTTTGATTACGGCAACATGGACAGTGACATTGCCATTCTTTGGCTGCCCAAACCATTGGTGTTCAGTGACAAAATAAGACCAGTACAATTAATGGGAAGAGGTGAAGAAATAAATGATGGTGATGATACGATTGTGACTGGATGGGGTAACCTTTATGTAAGTGGTTTTTAGGTTGATATTTGATTGCTTTTGATGTTCAGGGTGTCTTCTTAGCGTTCACAGTAAAATTGTTCTAATTTCAAAATTCAACAGTACTAAGAAAAACTTAGAACGGTTGATAGAATCAGATTGATTGAATGAGATTAATGCGTAGTTCGTCAGTTTTTTGGGAAGATATAAATGTATTTCAAGCACCAAGCGCTTTTACTCTGTGATGCTTAATTTTTTTTAAACTTCTCATAAAATGTTTTTTTTTTTAGGAAATTGGTGGTACGCCAAGCACTCTACAGAGAGTGATAGTCCAGAAAATCAACAACGAGATATGTAACGATGCTTACAAGCCATTGTATGCTATTACTAATTATATGCTCTGCGCTGGGGCACCTGGAGGTGGAAAGGATGCATGTCAGGTAAACATATCTCTATTTGTACTCTATAAATTATAACCATCAAAGATATAGTTTTGTAACAGCGGTGCACACATAATGATGTAAAATATGAAATTGCTCACTTTTGACCATTTTCGTTGCGAGAGAGAACCAAGAACGTTGAATAAGGCAGATACAGTCTCTCGGTACAACGACTTTGACACCTGTCTACTATAATGTTACACGGAGAACTATAAGCATATTGATACGAAGGACATCTATCATTTTCTTAAGTCTGGTAACGAGGTAACTCATTGTACACGCACTCGCACACCTAATAAACTTTTGATATTTTAGTGCTTTAATCAATAATAATTGTAAGCCACATTATGTCCCCTTCTATCAACGTCTGTGGAGAGAACCATGGGTATAAATCGAAGCTGACAAATATCGAGACTCCGTGCTATGAGTATTGAATCTTTCAATACTTCTTGTTTGATACTACATCGATAATTCTATACTCCACGTTATAGGTCCATCAATTTTGGCAATGCGAGCGAAAAACTAAACAACACCAAATATCTTATAAGTGAATTAATTTACTATCATTTTTACAGGGTGACAGCGGTGGCCCCCTGGTTCATAACAACAAGTTAGCTGGCGTCGTGTCCTGGGGTCTAGGATGTGCTCGACCTGAATATCCAGGCGTCTACTCTAAAGTCTCAGCTTTGAGGAGCTGGCTCGATGATAATATTTATCAGCTTAGGTGGAAACATATCTGGAGAAGCGTTTAGAAGATTAGAAGACCAGTAGACGAATAGACGAACAGACTATATGTTGAGTTTGGTCTTTTCTTGCGCATCAGAATGGTTGTGATTACGGATTTGTTAAGTCTTTTGTTTTGTTATGTTATACATAATAATTAAATTAAGGCAATTGCAAGTTATTTAGTGTTTTATTAACCGACTTCAAAAATAAAAAAGGGAGATTCTCAGTTTCCACTACTTCAAAAAGACGAAAGAATTATTGTAATATTATTTTGTTTTTAGTTTTATTGTTGTGTCCTGTTACAAACTGTAGGGTTCGTGATCAATTCGGTACGCTGTTTTTCATGGACTATCTTGTTTATCAAGTAATCATATTACATTGAATGACGACCACGTTAAATGTGTCTAGGGTCAAATTTCCAGAAAAGTCGATCTAATTACGTAGTAGTGTAATAACTTTTTAAAAAATAGCTACAGCTGATAATGAGATTCAAATCTTTTGGTGAATTAAGTAATATTTATGTATTTTCTCCACCAGCATCACTAAAATTGTGACCGAAACTTGGCAACACTCATTTTAAAGACTACACAGTCTTATAGAGCTTATGCTTCAGCTGTAATCTCCTGAATATCTCTAGCTTAACATTAACATAAGAAACATTAATCTTCTTGGTACTACTTAGCACTAAGTGCAAACAACACCACTTTAGAATATTCTGGTTTTAAAGGATTTTGACTTATTATAGGTAGGTACTATGTAAAGTTTTTGGTAGCTACAGATTTGCCTTGCCTTTTATAAGATTTTTTTTTTGCGGTGCAAAAATCATCCAATGGTTTTTCCCGCCTTGGGTTAGGCGAGAAGGAGTGTCAGACTCTTACTGACTAAAAAGTACCCCGTTCGTACTCCTGCTGTTCGAGCTGGAGCCCCGGCAACCCGTTAGGCCTTCCGCGGCTCCGTATCGGGCATCAGCCCTACTGGACCCCATCTGTGGTGGTCTGATAGCTCTTTGAGGCGCGAGCAAAACGCGACGCGCTGTACGCATGGTTCTGGTTAGGGTTGGGCGGCGAGCTACCCTTGCTCACCGACCGCAGACCCGAACTTACGGTGGCCAGAGATCGTCACGTGATCTCCGACGCCCGGAGTGTCTCCCGCGACGGCTGAGACGGCTCCTATGTATGGAGCGAGGAGGACAGGGATTCCGTCTCCTCCGAAGTGAGAGGAGTAGGTACGGGGTGGTTTTTTGTCAGTAATAGTTTGACACTCCCTCTTGCCTCACCCGAGCGGAAGAAGTCATTAGATAATTTCCCTCTCAAAAAACCATGATAAAGACAGTAATTAAAACTTCGCGCACCTTTAGAGAATTTTGATAAACTGGACTCAATAGTACAAAAAAAAAATTAAGCTAAAGACACTAGGAGCCGAGCATGCTCTGCAGCCGTGCAAATGGCAACTCAACTAAACGATGTAGCTTCATTTTATATTATAAATGTATAGGTAGGATCAGATAATACAGAAAAATATCAATCTAATTATCTATTTACGATTCATCATTTAAAAATATTAGGCATTTTAGTAAGCACTTATGATATTATATCACTCATATTGTACCTAATATTGCACAATATTTTGTAACATAATCATCTCTATCTATATAAACAATACACATTTAGTTCGGGTGTTTGTCACGTATTTTTTTTCAAAATTGTTATGTAACATTACATCATTAACATAACCTTTTATATGTGTAGAGCAATTTATATAGGTAGTTATTTTTGGCTAGCCTGTGTTTTCGGGAGCCAGTTTTTAAAACAGATCCAAGACGCCATACTTTTTTCTGATGACGTGAGACTTCATATAACTCAAAATGTATGAAAGAAAGAATAAAACTTTATTTCATGCCTTGTATTAGTAGGTACTGATGGATAGATGTTCATGTCCCAAGTCTGCCGTGAAATGGGACCAGTTCAGCATGTGCAAGACAGGGCCTTGCATTGGTATTCTACTAGCCCCTTAAGTGACTCGCGGACGAACAAGCCACCAATTAGACATTAACAGTTTAGATGAATTAAGAAGTATATAATAAACTGTCTTAAGAACCTTTTCCTAATAATAACATAAATAACAAAAAAAAATCATCCAAATCGGTATAGCCGTTTTCAAGTTATGGCGTGACAAAGGTAAACGGGTTTCATTTATATATATATACATTTATATACTAGCTACTTCCGCGCGGTTTCACACACTCTGCTCAGCTCCTTTTAGTCGTAGCGTGATGTTTTATAGCCTATAGCCATTCTCGATAAATGCACTATCCAACACAAAAATAATTATTCAAATCAGACTTGTAGTTACGGAGATTAGCGCGTTCAAACAAACAAACAAAAAACAAACTCTTCCGCTTTATATAATAGTTTTTTTTAAGGGGGGAAAATCATCGAATGACTGCTCCCGCCTGGGTGAGGCGGGAGGGAGTGTCAGACTCTTACTGACTAAAAACCACCCCGTTCCTTCTCCTGCACGTCGAGCCGGAGCCCCGGTTACCCGTTAGGTTCTCCGCGACTCCGAATCGGCATCGGCCGTATTGGGCCCCATCTGTGGTGGTCTGATGGCTCTTTGAGGCGCGCGCGGAACGCGACGCGCCGTACGCTCGGGTTATATAATAGTATAAGAGTATAAGATAGAAGATAATATATATATAGATAATTATAATAGCTAGGTCTGTGACAGCCTTTATTATTTCGTAATAAAGTTCAAAATCTTTTGAAGTGATAGCTTGGAACAGTTTAATTTGCTACTGGCGAGTGTACCCGTAACTTGGTAATGTATGCTGTCTGTGGATTGGTCAAGCTACTTCGAACCTCCTTACCTTAATGAAATTTGCATCAATTTCCTTACTACTTTGTAAAACTGTGGTAGACACTAAGTAGATGACTTTACAAAGAAAGCTCTGTGACTATAGAAGCAAAGTTTTCATAGTTCAATACTTTGAATCGAGTAAAATTTTATGAGGAGTATTATTATAATAAATTTAACATTTTTAGTAGTAGCATGAAATATGAAATTGTAATTCACTGAATGTGGTATTTTATATGAAAGAGAACACTGAGATAAATTGGGTATTTCTTTTATGGTATAAGCCGGTAAACGAGCAGACGGATCACCTGATAGTAAGCAATCGGCGTCGCCGATGGACAACCGGAACACTATAGGCGTTACCAGCGCGTTCCTTTTTGGGGTTTAGGAATTTGAGGATTGTTGGGGATTCAGGTATAGGGAAGATTGAGGCGGGGTAATTGGTAACCTGTAACCCTGGTTTTGTTATGTGTGGAGGAAAAAGATATTAATGTTACATCGACTCCATTTTCATCTTATTTACAAAATGTATTTAATTATTACAGTTGCATAATGACATATGATTTATACACCTTTTTTCTAAGGGGGGAAAATCATCGAATGACTGCTCCCGCCTGGGTGAGGCAGAAGAGAGTGTCAGACTCTTATTGACTAAAAACCACCCCGTTCCTTCTCCTGCGCGTCGAGCCGGGGCCTCGGTTACCCGTAAAGGTAAATATTATTGGATGGAATTTCTTAGGGCCGATTTTTCTAACGCCAGATAAATTTTAACCAAGGACTAATACTTAAAACTGTCAATGTCAATTTTATTCTACAGAAGAATCAAGTAATAATTGAAAAATTGGTCCAAAATCTAATTTAAACTTCAATTATTGCAAATTTTAAATGTAGAAATTCAATTAGTAATTAAATTCATATTATGTGGATTCCCATGACTTTTGTAATAATAATTAATAAGAAATCTAAATAATTCTGTTTAAATAATCTTTCTTGAATCATTGTTTAATTATACGTTTCTTTTGTAAGTAGTTTTGTAAGAATTAAAAGAATTTTTTTATTTATTTATTTAATATGCTTCATGCACAGAGTGTACAAATAGGTGGACTTAATGCCGCAGGCATTTTTATTTTTATTATTTATTTATAATTACACTAGCAGCCCGTCCCGGCTTCGCACGGGGTAGACAATTATTTATTTTTGGAAATTTGGATTGTTCTAGTGACATAACTACAATAGTAGGACATATGCTACCGCGGAGTTTTTTGTAGACATTATGATGTTCTTCAATATTATTGTACATTATTTTGTTCTATCGTTAATAGTTTCGGTAGCGCAGTCCACGAAAGACATTTTAAGACTCATTTTTCTACACCTTCGGTTACATTGTTCAAATTTTACTAAGGATCCCTAATTTTTTTCAAAAACGAAATGTAGCCTATGTCAAATTGGAAGAATGTAGCATTATATTAGTGAAATTATTTTTTAAATCGGCCCAGTACTTATTGAGCCTATTCATTATAAACATTCAAAAATAGGTACAAATCTTTCCTCTTTACAAAGAGGTTTTTCTTGAGTTTTAAACATTCTGTTGTAATTGCAACAGATTTGTAACCACATACTTAACTACCGTAAAACGGGGTGAAAAGAATTCGAGGGGTGAATAGATATAGGATTTTTTTAAGGGGGGAAAATCATCGAATTTCTGCTCCCGCCTGGGTGGGGCGGAAGGGAGTGTCAGACTCTTACTGACTAAAAACCACCCCGTTCCTTCTCCTGCACGTCGAGCCGGAACCCCGATAACCCGTTAGGTTCTCCGCGACGAATAGATATAGGAATGGGCTGAATAAATGTTAGAATATTTTCCCAACATTTATTCACCCCTCTTCTGTATCTATTCACTCCTCGAATTCTATTCACCTCCATTTACTACTGCAAGAACAACAATTTTAGTATATTACCTAAACAATACATAAATAGCCACAATAAACTAACATAAAAACCGCTACCTATGTAAAACCTATTTTTTGCAAGCATCTACAATAGTACAGGTTGTTCAAAAAGTGAATTTAAATTTTTTTATGGTATCGAGCGACAAAAGAACATACGACTCAGTCACTTGATGATAAGTCACACCTGAAGTTACAATAAGTACGTCACCAGAATCCATTATGCCAGTTTTCTTCATCTAGCTTTGGCAAAAGGGTATAAAGAGGTACTCCGACGAATGGACCGGCTCGACCGGAGTTATATCACGGCCTCACAGAAAACGGACGTGAAACAACGCTTGCGTTATGTGGCGTCGTGGGAGTAAGGTTACCGACCCTGCCTCAATCTCCCTAATATCTGAATCCCCAACAATCCTCAAATTCCTAATCCTCAAAAGGCCAGTAAAGTACTTGTAAAGCCTCTGGAGTTCTGGGTGTCCATGACGCCGATTGCTTACCATCATATGATCCATACGCTCGTTTCCCAGAAAAAAAAAGATAGGTGAAGAAAACCGGCGTAACTTAATAGCTTCGGAATTGAAATTGAAAATGAATGAACTGTAGTCAATTTTATTTCAGAGATCAGACATCAGATTAGGAAGTTTAGGTATAATATTTAAAGATAATGTGGAGTCATGCTTACGTCCAATTTTTTATCATATCATAAACCATCAGTTCTATCACAGACACTTATTAACAAGATAACTATTTATTTAACAATATTGTGTAATATTAAACAATACATACAATATCATGACTTTTTCTACCAAATAGGAAGATTTTTTTTTCAATAATGAGGTGGAACATACACAAAGAGAAGGCATGTATGAGTATAAATGCAATGGTTAAGTATAAAGTATGCAAGGTTCGTAGTAGATTGTGCTAAGAATCTGCAATGAGTGTAGAATCTATAAAAATAGAACATCATTTCCGTATAAACAATTCTATCCCTGATCTCAAGTATTTGTGCATTGACTTTGCGCCTATTTGCAAAACACTATTGTAAACAAATTCGCCATAAATTAACAATTTAATGAATAAGACATAAAAAAAATCTACGATCTATAACTATTACACAATATTACGATTTATTGTGAGTATTAGTGAATTTTAAAGAAAAGCTGTAAAGAAAAAGTTAGATACTTATTATAATATTTTTTGTATTTTTCTCAACGCAGTTTTCTCAGAAACGACTAGTCCGATTGGAACAATTATTTTTGTGTTGGTTAGTCCATTTATCGTTGAAGACTATACGCTTTACGACATGAAGCTACGATCAATAGGCGCCGAAGGTGAAATTGTGAGAAAGATATTATATAATAAAAATGAATCCTTTTTCCCTTGGTCACGGCATCACGCGTGATTGTCAGGACCAATTTAACTAATTCTTTTTTTGTTGTATTTGTTATTATTAGGAGAAGGTTCTTAAGTCAGAAAAAAGTCCTGAAAGTCCCACGGGAAGGGGAAAAAACGGAATTTCACGTACGAAGTCGCGGGCAAGGGCTGGTATTACCTCTATATAAAGTTGAAGAAATTATTTGTTTGAATGCACTAATCTGAGGAATTAATGGTTGAATACGAAAAAATATTTTTACATTATTTAGTTTATTTATTGAGGAAGGCTGTACAATAAAAATCATCACGCGACAATTCATAGGCGCCTGGCAGAGCGGGTGAAACCGCAAAAAATAAATTTAAACATAAAAAATAGTTCTCATGTACTGGTCATAAATATATTTCGTAAGATTTCTGATACTGATTATATAATGATAGAATTAATAAGAAAATACACAATAAAAATCTTAACTACAGGAGACAAAATAAAAAGATGTAATTATCAAAAACACTTCATAATTTGAACAGCGCTAGGAGACCGATAACAGCTGGTGTCTAGATATAAGCGGTTTTTACTTATCCAAGAGATTATAATGTTTGATTGTACGTCATATAAATATAAAATATAGTTTTATGTCTTAGAGTATATAAATCAAAAACTGTCAGTAAAAAATCAGGACTGTACCTATCTGACACTTCTTAGTTCGTCTTCTTTCTTTCTAACTATCTGCATTGTTTTAAATTCGGTAAGCGATTGTTTTCATTGTATTCATCATGTATCCATGATTCTGATCTATTGTCAGAAATTAAATTACTCGAATATATTATACTTTATTAATGTATTTATTCTATTCGACTATCCTTTAATAATATGTTTCTAAAGTATCAATATTAAATGTATCAACTAATAACTTTGACCTAGGAAATAAAATAACATAATACATTTAAACTCAATTAAAATGATATCATAACAGGTTATACATAGCGACATAGCTAAACTATATTTAAAAGTAAATAACAAATTCCAATAACGATAACATATGCATAGACAAAGTCGCGGCTAAAACTGGTTTAAAAAAAAGACAGTGTGATATAAATAAGGAAGCGCGTTCATTGATTTATCATAACAGTTTGGAACGCCGGCACGATAATGACATCAACGGTTCTACTAGTCTTGTTGACATTGACTTTATCTCTAACAAGTAACGATGCGGCAAAAATACTTGGATTTTTTCCTCTTCCATCAATCAGCCATCAAGTGCTCTTCAGACATTTGACACAAGAATTAGCGAAGAGAGGACATGAAGTTACAGTCATCACAACAGACGTAGCCTTCCCTAATGGCGATGGGCCTGCCAATCTAACAGAAATAGATGTCCATGATTTTTCTTACGAACAGTGGAGGAATTTGTATAAGTTAACTTCGACTGGAGAAAAGGATTTGATTGGGCAGATACACGGAGCGTATCACATGTTGGTCAAAATAGTGGAGATGCAGTTGAAAGTGGATAAAGTACAAAAGATGCTGAAAGAGGAGAAGTTTGATTTACTCTTGTTAGAAGCTTGTGTTAGACCAGCGTTACTTCTTTCGCATGTAGTGAAAGCACCAGTGATTCAAGTGTCTTCTCTAGGAACTATTGATTATAATGTGGCCACGATCGGATCAGCCTGGCATCCTTTTCTGTACCCAGATTCTTTGAGTCAACGTTCATACAATTTGAGTATATGGGAAAAAATTCGTGAGTTATATACCTATTACCAACTAAATAGAGTTATGCAAGAAGTGGAAGATGCAGAGAACGTTATGGCAAAGAAATTATTTGGTCCAAATGTTCCAACTATCAGTGAATTGAAAAATAATGTTGATTTGATGTTGTTGAATACTTATCCCCTTTGGGATAACAATCGGCCAGTGCCTCCCAGTGTTGTATACATGGGTGGTTTGCATCAGAACCCTCAGAAGGAACTGCCAAAGGTGAGATAAATGTTATAAATAAAAAGTTATATTTAGGTTAGTATAACATCATAATTGAATTAAAGGCTCATAGTGCAAATAAAGAATGAATCTGTTAAATCACATTTGTTTTACTCTGTGATAATTAGGAGTGTGCATTTAGGGTTTACAAATAAAATTGCATTAAAATCACTTTGAATGTTGAAACAATAACCATTCATTACACCACAACGGATTGTATTGTTCTAAAGACAAAATTATTAATTAACAGGATCTGAAGGAATATCTGGACTCTTCAAAGAATGGTGTCGTATACATCAGCTTCGGTACAAACGTCCAACCTTCACTATTACCGCAAGACAGAGTTCAGATGATGGCCAAAGTGTTTTCTCAGCTGCCATACGATGTGCTATGGAAGTGGGACAAGGACGAACTGCCAGGACGCTCTAAGAACATCAAGATATCAAAATGGCTTCCACAGTCTGATTTACTCAGTAAGTAATACCTTAATTTATATACATTATTATCCTCCTCTTCTGGGTATAACTCTGAAGAAGTTACACTGACACTCCATGTCATTGACACGCCATGACATTTTAAAATGAGCATACATGTTCGCTATTCCGATCTAGCTACTATTACTAATTATTCTAAATGTTAAAAAACACTGCCTCGTTGGCCGAGTGGTCTCGGGTTGGGTTCTCGGGTCGAGCAAAATATTACTGGGTTTTTGAAAATTCTCAGTAGTAGCACGGTGTTTGGAAATGTGCCCGGTATATGGCAATGGGCTCAGCCCCTATTACATGGGACTCATAACATAAATAGTGAAAAATGAGTGTTACATTGTACAGTGGCATTAAGTGCCGAAATGTGCACTCCTCTTCCTATCTCTTCGAGGATAAAAGGCGTGATGTTATGTATGTTATGCTACGTTAAAAAACAAGACAATATTCTCAATTTTAAACTGACCACTGTGACCTTTAAGTTAGGTTACACTTATGCAATCATTCCGTCGACGAGACGTTTATAATTAGTAAGATCAAGGCCAATGTAATTGACCCGTAAAACATCACAGGAGATAACATTACACAGTTTAATCAATTATTACAACGAAGATGTTTGCGTCGCTAGAGATGCTAGTGTTGTTTAGAGTCTGTCGGTAATGCCTTGTTCACATTATGCTAGTATTCTAGCCTATAATGCAACCTATTCAATCGGACCTTGTTAACAAACTATTATTTCAATTTACAGGACATCCAAACATCAAAGTATTTATAACGCAAGGAGGTTTACAATCAGCTGATGAAGCTATAACTGCAGGAGTACCTCTGATTGGTGTTCCTATGTTGGGTGACCAATGGTATAACGTGGAAAAGTATGTTCACCATGGGATTGGTCTACAACTCGACCTGCTTTCGATGACTGAAGACGATTTTAAGAATGCCATTTTGACCATTGTAAATAATGATAGGTGAGTACATTAACACATTTATCTTCCTATTCCTATAACTGCCTCGTTGTTATGGAGTCTCCGGTTTGATTCCCGGGTCGGGAAAAGTATTACTGGGTGTTTTCTCAATCTTACCAACCCTGTCTAAGTTACTTGAGAGGCTTGTGAACAGTAGGCTGGTCAAGTTTCTTGAAATAAACAGCATCCTCTCCTGCTCTCAGTATGGTTTTCGTTCCGGACTCTCTACAGGCCACGCAGTGCTAAACCTCACCAACTACATCATCTCTAACTTGGACAGGCATCAGAGGGTCATAGGTATCTTCCTGGACCTAGCTAAGGCGTTTGATACGATATCTGTCCCCACTCTTTTAATTAAACTTGAGCGTATAGGAATCAGAGGTATCCAGCTTGCGCTATTCGAGAGTTACCTTACTGGTAGACGCCAACGCGTTAAAATTGCTGAATGGTCTAGCATCGACCTTCCCATTACATACGGGGTCCCCCAGGGCAGTATCCTAGGTCCTACCCTATTTCTTATTTATATAAACGACTTGTGTCTTCTGAAAATACCTAATGCATCCATTTTTTCATATGCTGATGATACTGCCCTGCTATTTCATGGTGACTCGTGGGAGTCGGTTTATCTGCATGCACAGGGTGGTTTCGACCTTGTCACCAATTGGTTGACCCACAACCTGCTCACTTTAAATTCAGATAAAACGAAATATCTTACCTTTTCCCTTTCAGAGGCCGGCAAGTCCCGTTTACCCTCCCTTCCATTAATAGCACACTCTTGCAAATTACATCACAGGTCAATCTGTAACTGTCCCCGTATCTCTCGTGTCGACTGCATTAGATATCTGGGTGTACTTATTGACGATTGCCTGTCTTTTCGTGCTCACATAGACGCGCTTACCTCTCGAGTCCGGAGGCTAATTTATGTATTCAAGTCTCTCCGTCATGCTGCCGATACTAATACTATGCGGCTTGTATATTTGGCTCTTGGTCAATCAATTATGGAATACTGCATAATTGCCTGGGGCGGATCTGCTAAAACACATCTTTTAAAACTAGAACGTGCACAACGTGCACTCCTGAAAGTGGGCTGGAAGCTACCTTTCCGTTTTCCAACCACAGATCTTTATAAAATTTGTAATGTTCTCTCTATACGAAAATTGTTCATTTCGAATATTCTTTTGACTACTCACTCCCAAATTAGTTACGATCCGACCATGTTTGACGGTAAACGGCGTAAGCATAGTGTTTGTCCTCCTTTTTTGACTAATTGTCGATCTGCACAACGCAGTTTCCCTTTTCTTAGCGGCTACATATACAACAAGGCAAACAATATACTTAACATATATCCTCTGTGTAAATCTAAATGTAAAAAAACGGTCAGGAACTGGCTTCTTGACATGGACTATGATAGCACTGAAGAATTACTGCACGTTTTATCTTAAATCTCGCATAGGTACATTGTTGGGTACTTCGTCGTTGTCGGCTTTCGGTAATGTCTACATATTCTTCACAGCACACCAACTTACATACACAAACACACAACTTCAGATACACTCACACTAAAGACATGAACACTCACACACTGTACATTCATTTTCACAATTGACAAACACATTCTCATCATCCATTCTCATATAATCCACTCTGGTTTGGTGTTGGTCTACCCTCAGACCACGGAATTTGTTTCTTTTTATTGCTTGTATTCTATTGCATTATAATTACCTACTATATTATTGTGACATCGGGTGTGAACCTGGAGATCTGTCATACAGGTCTTGAACCCAGTATAGACTCCAGCTCTCACAAAGGTTGAACCTATTGTAACTTAAATAGTGATATAATGTTTCTATGTATGTACCTTTTTGAGAGAAATAAATTCCTTTATTATTATTATTATT